ACCACCCACCCACCCACCCACCACATACACACACACACACACCCACACACATGTACGCACACACACACACACACACACATGTACGCACACCCACACTTACTGTACGTTGCAGAGCAGAGCCATGCACAGGGCTGCTCCCATGACGTCTTGCATAAGCCATGCCCATGCCTCATGGCGATAGACCGCCCACACAATGCAGAAGACGGCTGTGCTACACAGCAGCACCACATCCTTATACGCCAACCACAGAGTCATGCATGGCACCCACAGGCCATTCTTACGAGCTATGCACGGGGTGATCATATCTAGGATCTGGTGTGTGTGGGTGTGGGTGAGTGTGTATGTGTGTGGGTGAGTGTATATGTGTGTGGGTGTGGGTGAGTGTGTATGTGTGTGGGTGAGTGTGTATGTGTGTGTGTGTTGGTGGGTGTAGGTGAATGTGTATGTGTGTGGATGTGGGTGAGTGTGTATGTGTGTGGGTGAGTGTGTATATGTGCGGGTGTGGGTGATCCTTATACATCAACCACAGAGTCATGCATGGCACCCACAGGCCATTCTTACGAGCTATGCACGGGGTGATCATATCTAGGATCTGGTGTGTGTGGGTATGGGTGGGTGTGTATGAGTGTGTATGTGTGTGGGTGTGTGTGGGTGTGGGTGAGTGTGTATGTGGGTGTGTGTATGTGATTGTGTATGTGTGTGGGTGTGTGTGGGCGTGGGTGAGTGTATATGTGTGTAGGTGTGGGTGATCCTTATGCGCCAACAACAGAGTCATGCATGGCACCCACAAACCATTCTTACGAGCTATGCACCGGGTGATCATATCAAGGATTTGGTGTGGGTGGGTGTGAGTGGGTGTGCGTGTGCGTGAGTGAATGTATATATATATAAATGTATATGTGTGATTGTGTGTGCGTGATAGATAGATAGATAGATAGGGAGAGAGAGAGAAAGAGAGATAAAGACACACAGAGAGTGTGTGTATGAGGAAGACAGGACATACGCAAGTAGTAGGTATGTCCTCTCCCTATAGATTTTTAAACATGGTCGATACCGTGCACATCTGAGTGGGTATTGTAAGTTGCAGCAACTGATGTATAGTCGAGCCAACGGAAAGGCATTCATGTGAATGTGAATGTACATTCGCATACACATACCTACACGTGCACACGCAGGGATGGGCGAATATGGTGCAGCATATGTCGTATTTATGTTTTAGGGTTTAGGGTTTAGGGTTTTAGTGTGAGGGGTAGTGGAGGTGGCGATATAAATGAGACAATGAAGGAATACGTTGACAAGGAGAACAGGCAGGATACGATGAGAGGGATTGGAAGGTGGCACTCTTCTCTGCATTAATAAGTGCATATACATACGTCTGCAGACAAAAACTACTACACACATAGACACAAAACATAGACGAATACATCTACATAAACATATACATATGAACACACACACAATTACATCCACATTAACATACATATACAAACACACACAGAGAGAAATATAAGAGGTAGCAAGCCC